GAACTTGTCTTGTAAGACAATGTCCCCAGGGGCTCTTCTGCCCTTACTTGAAATCGACTCACAGCCCCTTAGTCTCCATGGATGGGTAACTTGTAGAGATCTTGAAGATTACGCTTTTTCCAAACACCGTCGGTAATTGTCCGAAAACATCTCTCCTTCCCACAAAGAAGGAAGGACACTTTGGCTTTTTGAGGCAATTGGCACTCAGGAAGATAATGAAGATAATGACGGGTGTTAAAGAGTGTAATAATTTGAACGATTTAATGAATGACGAGAAGTTAATGTCATAAATAACAATAGACTACGTTTGTGTGATGGTTCGCTCTGTCAAAAACTAGGCGAGTTTTTTTGAAACACACACCTCAGGCCGTTTCGTAAAACAATGCCAGCCAAGTTGCATTGGTGTACAGTGCATATCTTATCGAGAAACTAAAATGTTAATAAAACCATCTCGAATTTAAACCACAAATACTCTAAGTTGCATCAACTTTCCAATATTTGGTGACCTCTCGTGAGTGGATTTCATCTTAAGTTTGTAAACTGTAGACTTCATGTGAGATTCGGTCTTTGTGAGAACTTTTATCTGTTAACCAACACAATACTTCACATGAACGTACAGTAGTAAGCCCATTTTCAAGAGTTCGACTTAGTCTCAACATTGCCCTCGTTGTCAGTTTCCCACGCCGTGCGCTATGATTTTTCTTCAAAACACTTAAAAACATGAAAAGCACACTTACTTAATTAAAGGCAAATGTTTTCATCGGAGAGACCACCAGATATGACTCGTCCTTTTATCATAAGCAAGTTGTTCTCATAAGAGTCTCATGAGAAATTTCATGCCAACTCTTTGGAGAAGTTGTTAGTTGTCAAGCAAACAAAAAAGTTGAACCCTTAAGTTTTTCACCAATAATGAATATTGTTACATACCACTGTTTAGGGTCACCATCATTTAAACCAAACATTTCTTATATGTATAAATTACGATCCACTAATTAGGTTTTTCATGAAGAAAAGCATTTTAGTGACTGTTTATAATTGATAATAATGGATTTGACCACTGTTATTCCGCTTTAGAAGTGAGATTAACAGGATTCTGTACCAAAATTACAATCTCTGGGGTTGTAATGAGCCTGGTTTCACGCGAGATTTTATTTCTAAAACTTTGTTGAAATTCTGAAATGCTCCAAAAAATACTTAAAAGGCTATCCTAGATTCGAGTACTTATACACTGTCTAGAAAATTACGTCGCATACTCGTATTTAAAAAGCTCTGTCCTTTGGGGATAGCCCTCTGACATACTTCTGTGCGCTCCAAAATGTTCTTGAACTTTTCAACCTGCAGCTTAACATGGTGGCGAAATTCCATTGAGTGTTAATTGGTGCCTCCTAAACGACGTCCCAAATGGTGACAAAAACGACAACGCAAATAACTACTACAGGAAATCATTTGATTGAAATAAATTGCGATCACTGCGCAAAGACCGATGAAATGAACTTTATAGCTGGTTTGAAGGCTTGGAGACATTCTGTATGTGCGTCAAACTAAGTATACCGCAGGAAAGAGATTATGGTGAACTCGCCCCATTGCAAGTTCGCCCCTTATTACCCTTTTCGAGTTCGCCGCCCAACGTAAAACAAGTTCACACCCACCTCTATCAATTCGCCCCCAAATCTTTTGATTTGTTTCCCTACCACAAAACCGTATTTTTTCATGTCCAAGTCGTTGTATTTTTTGCGACCAAGATGATTTTTTCACATGCAAATCCAAGCCGTGTTAAAAACGCACGACTTGTGTATGAGTAATGCAAACCCGCTGCGTTACTCCAGTCTTAATCTAACGAGTTTCACATAATTTTCTCCTTTTTTGCGCGGCAAAATTTAAGGACTAGTTATCTTGCCTTACCTTCGAACTTCTCACTAGCCCAAAAACTTCAACAGCATTACAAACGAGTTTAATGAGTTGGGGCGAACCGGTAAAGGTGGGGACGACCTCGTTTTACATTAGGGTGAAAAACCTCACTAAAAGATAAAGGAAACGTTTCTCCCTTAATAATTGATTCCATTTTAATAAGTTCGTACACTTAACTCGCCGATAGCACTGTTAGATACTGTTACATTGCAACTGCAGTGGTTGATCTTCGTTTAATTGCTCTCTTAGAGCCTCATTACAAAAACAGTGGCCTCAGTCTCTCAACTATTACGTCCATGTAAATGCACACTTTCTTCAAACGAATGATCTCGTCATAAAATTTTTCGGCGATTGCTCGGCCTTTTGTTTTAGCCAGGAAAGATCCGAGGACAGCAAGTCCGTTTTCCATTTTCTTGATCCTTTTAGATAAACGTCAAAGTTTTTTTTTACACATGCCCTGTCCCTAATAAGCGCCCTGTTTCAAAAAAGCACTGCACTTCATATCCTTCTCCTGCATGAACTACTCCAACTTGCTTCAGTGGTCCGCATCAACTGTGCCACGAATAACAATATCATAGGCGCTTTCACTTCACACTAGGATTCTTGGTAAAGAAGGTCATCAAATGTCACGGTCTCACTTACGAAGTGAGAGACGACAAGTGAAGGCAGCGATAACGACCACGCAGGAGAACGAAGTTCGTTCGCACTTCATTCTTGTTTTGTGACCAGGTGCTGAGTGCTAAAATGCTGATGCAAAGGCGTGAGTAAGCTTTCCTGAACATATGCACCTCCAATAAGTCGATCGGGCTTTGCAAACGCACAGTTCTCCGGACTTCTTCACGGCCGGTCGCCACAATGAGAGTCACTGAGTCAAATGGCCTATCTACAGGACGCATGACAATTGGCAATATCGAAAAAAATTCTTTCTAGACAATTAGCAAGTTTATCTCCATACCTGAATTGAAGCCGAGCACAATTTCGCAAATCCTCTTTCAAGACTTTTACTTCCCTCCACCGGTCTCATTCCTGGGTTGTGGGAATTACGGGTAGTAGATTGCGGGTGTCAAAGGCTTTTGAACATTGAGTGAGTGCAGTTTTTCCATCTCCCCCACGACTACAAGTTCCTCTGGACAAGGCAAAGTAATGACCACTCTGAGCCAATCTTCTCCAATCGAATGCTTGAAGAGGAGGACTTCATAATAGATTTCCCATATCAAAAATGAAATTACTTTAAAACAACACTTGTCTTGCCATAGTTTCCAATTCTCCGCGAATTCTCCTTTTCACATCTTGAATACCACGGAGGCATAATGTAGTGAAAAATCTTCGGCAGCGAAACCTCTGACGAAGGTTTATTTGAATTTGAACCGGAGATTTCAACGCTATCAAACATTTGTACTCGGTTTTTTTTAACAGATTTTGAACTATTTCACCAAGAGATACAACTAGGCAACATTACGTCAAAGAGGGTAAACCACACAAAGAAGTTCACCGATCAAGGTTTTAGTTTCATTGATTTGATACCGAAAAAAGAAAAAATGCATCACACTGGTCACCTACATAGGTAATAAAAGCTAAATAAAGTCGAGCACATGACAGCTTAAAGTTGATTCAGTTATTTTGTGTCCGTTTGAATGTTTGGTACAAAGCGCTAGAAGAAAACGGTGCATGATGAAAGATTCTCGAGTTCTATTTAACCTTGAAAAATAACTTTGAACTGGCTAATACTTACCAGTTTAAGTTTGTGTAAATTAGAAAGTTTTTACTGATACACCGGCTATCTTTGGATTATATTTTTTTCATAATGAAGGTCTAATTACGACCTCCCACTAAAAGATCGCCTATTTATTCCTCAATAAATCCCCATAGATGTTAAGGCTTTAATAGCGCCTGGTTAGATTGACATTAGATTTACATTCTTCCAAGAAATAACTAGGCAAATTAAACTCCTGTTGAGTCTCTCTTGGCTCGTTCCAATTCCAGTTGATGCTCATTACTGGTTTCAAAAGATAATTGGCTGATATTTTCCCTGTGTCCGTTAGTCAGTCAGCTCAGAGGTAATTCCTCCGCCCCGCCCCCTCACCACCGCGAGGTAAGACTCTTCGGTTAAGCGCTTGCATGATCAATTACGTCTCCATTCCGTCACCGAGAGCGACAATCTTACTGTCTAATAAGTGGCTATTTATCTTGAGTATCCCGTCATGATGCTCGACTAAAGGCGTTCACGAAGTCATATCATTTCTCTCAGTGACGCCGTACTTTCCACAAACTAGAGTGCCTGGTGCATGTTATGGAAATCATTGAGGAACAAAAGTTGGGGTCACATGATGAGCCGCAATTGCCATGAGAAAGTTAAATTATGGTCAAAAAAATATCTGAAAAAATGTGCAATTTTGCCAGAGGTAACACTAGAATCAAGAGTATGATACCAAGCTGGTGTGAACTTTCAAGATCTGAGCGAAATAGTCAAATCTGCTGTTACTTTAAATGAAAAGGCCCTGTATTATGATAGACGGATCAAAATCAACCAAAAGAGACTAATGAACTGTTAAAAATTTGGAAATCAAACGATATATAACACGGAACTGACCAATTAAAGGACCGAACTTGTTCAAATAACACGTGACTATGCATGTGCTTGATTTCGTTTGATGACTTACGCCCACGTTTATAAAACGTTTATCTCAGAAGATGACGTTATTTCTTTCGACAATCTCATTTACCCGGCGGATCACGCTCAATGACGGGTAAATTTTCACGATGTCCTCACCTTTACCGTATGCACGATGAAAGAGAGGCTAGTATTTTGTTTTGTTTTGCTTTGTTTTTTTTTATGACAGAAAGAAATGATGGTTTCCAATTTCGCGGGCTTAGATCTACGTCGCTTAATGGTTTTCACCAGGCATGTACGGCCCCCTCGCTGTCATTCCTGTAGGCAACACCTCATGGGTTGGGGAGGAGTCAGCTCAGCATCGATGCACCCTTTCTTCCTCCCATTTCATCCAGACACTTACCTGGGTAAGGTGTAGACCTTGATCTACTTTTGGTCTCATCAAACAATTATAAAATCAAAGTTTAACAGTCTTACTTACAGCGTCAGATAATAAAAGCGGGGGAGGTAAATTCCGCTAAAAACTTCTGAAGATAGATTCTTTAATTGGTTGTGAGACAAGTCCCTATAATCAACAATAACGACAACAAAATGTAAGCTACGAACCATGGGATAACGTTCCACATAATGAATAAAAGTGTTTGACTACATCTTGATTTGATTCGACTAGTTAGGGCTATTTTTATATCATGGAATATATCTTCATTGCATAAAATTTAACTTGGCTTTAATCGCATTGAAGCTGTGTATTGATGCAAACTTATCCTGGGGCTGAATAATATTGTTTAGCTGGTATTTTCTGAAGGAGGTAACATCTACTAATCTAACTAAAAGTAACAATTTCAAAATCACGAGACGGACGATTTTTAATTAATTGGGTGGAGTTGAAATGAAATTTTAAATTTAGGGAAGTATTAAAAAGAATGTTAAATTAACTGCATGTGTGTGCTATCCTTTAACCTCTGAACGGTCCTTCATTTAAACATTTTACGCAGTAGAAAAAAATCCTTCATTTCAAAATTATATCCAACTGCACAAAGTAGAGTACAAATAAGGCGTGAATAAAGCACAAGTGAATCACAAATATCCTGCGATATTGTACAGTTGGTTATTTTGTACTAAAAAAATGACCTGTTTAACCGGTCTGCTGCACGCGTTTCGCTTCTCTAACCGCTTTACTTTTCCTGCCTTATGAAAAATGAGCAGAAACACTTGGCAGAAAAAAAAGTTAGATAATAAATAATTTATTGGACATTTTGGTGTGTAGTATTGTTAAGTATTTTTACTCGTTGCGCATGTTTTATACATTTGTAATAATGTGCTTGATACTGGTGCTGCATGAAAAGATTTATGTACCTCCCATCTACTACCGGACGGGCGATTTCACGGGCGAATTAAACACAATAAACGGTAAGGTAAAAGTTTAACCTTCTACCTGAAAAACTGACCTTCTACCTGATTGATTTATCACAACGTAACAACAGTTTTGGGAAGACAGTGGAAACACGCATGACCGGTCCAAAGGTCAATCACAATGTCGCAACGCAACAATAACTAAGTAGTGTCACGAATCAGCTTTTGAATGATACGCCCCGCCTGTATTATCTGCATGCCTCACATGCGAACGCGTGGTTCTAAATACTCCTATCGTACAACGCAAATGAAGATATTCACGCTCCCCGTTCAGACACCCATAGCCTGATTATCACTGAGTGCGAAGTTGTCCGCCCAGTTCTCTCCTCTACCCGTCCAAAATACCTCGCACGAATTCGTGTTCAGGGTGTGTTACTCGGGATGTGATTGGATAAGTCAATTGTGCGAAATTATACTTATTGCAACAACATAGAATTTCGACACGAGATGAGGACGAATCTCGTTCATACTCATTGCTTTTCCTTGGTTTTTTAATGAGCCTGGTTATTTGATAACGCTGCGTTAAGAGTATCGGATGTCTATCACTGAATGGTAAGGCAGAATTTTCTAGTCACCCACCAACTCTTACCGTTCCTTGTTCATCGATCGATCATCGATCGTTGATCATCGGATCCAACCTTGATAAGGAACTTTTACTTTTGATTTTAGCGTTCCATTCCTTACGGCTGAGACTTAATTCCTGAATCTGTTGTTATTCTTGTAAGACACGCTTTTCCGTTTCTCGTAGTTCCGCTCCTGGGGTGATGACTATTTTCAACTTGTTCTTCATGAAAGTCCTTCTCATATAATTTATCAATCTGACTGCCCTTTCTCAGTCGGAGAACCTTTACACGCCGTCGATGCGGCTAAAATTCTTTCTGACTGCAGTCGTGCGCACAATAGCCTTAACTTGAGGTTCTCCTATCTGAATATCGAGACTTTCTCCGCCTACAAATGGAAATTTCTCTCCCATAGGAATACAGGCCATCTGAGACAATTAGATTTGATTAGTTCCTCGTCATTTCCTCGGCACCTCCCTGAGCCGTGATCGGCTGGAGTATTCTTGGCGTTATTTTATCGAGAATGTGGAAGCTATATTCCTAAAACTTGTGAGTTTGACTGAAGAGCAGCGTGAGGCTGGAAAGTAAAATGTTCACCGAAGCACAGATTAATACTGCGAAATCAAATTTGTTGGTTCTTTTTGATAACTTTGGAGACGGCTGAGTAATCCCAATGGCAAAGAAGTATGTGTGAACGCTCACCGAAGCACAGTTTAAGACTGCGAAATAAATTTTTGTATTTTTGTCTTTTTGTATCTTATTAGTAGAAACGGCTACTAGTCACAAAGGAGCATGTGTGTATGCAACATATAGAGACAGATCAGTTTGCGCAGTGGCGTGTAAGTAGTCGTCGTTGTATCGCCGGCTCAAGCCGCCTCCATTTCAGTTCTATTCGCTCTGTGCTGTTGTTTAAATCGCTCCCTATTTTGTCCGGATGATTTCGTTTCCTGTGTATTTCGTGTTGTAAACATTTATGAGTGCCAAAAATCTCGGATGGAGTAGATATCCATCGTACAAGCTATCAGTCAGCGTTTAGGGTCCAAAATAGACTTTTCCAATCCCGCCATCCCGCCGCTATTGTTCATTCCATCCCACCATTCCACCGCAATGAACATTTCATCCCGATCCCGCCTGGTTAAACGCAAGTTGCTCGAGTTCACCGCCGATGGACAAATTAAAGCCTTTACAGCATTGATAATATACTCACATTATGCTGAAAAGAAAAGATTTTAAAAACACTCGGTGTGATGAAGTGGGACAAAAACTCCATCCACGGAAGAACCAACAGAAAAGCTACCGTGTTACATAGACAAAATTCTTCAGCCAACAACAGAAGTCATATCTCAAAGATACAACAGATTTCATCGACTTAATAGAAAAGACAAAACTTCCGAAAGAATTGATACTCGTTTCAATGGACGTTACGGGTTTATACACAAAAGAACGCCCCAACATCCACCCCCATTCCAAAGTGCTTACTAGAGAGTTAATTTAGAGAAAGCGCTAAGGTTGATTTTGCAGGAAGACTCATCTCGTGCAAACGCACGGAGCCGCCATGGGCCCCAAAATGGCAGGAGCTTTTGCAACTATCTTCATGGATAAAACAAAAACAGATATGTCATCAATCAGTTCTGTGAACAAGCAAATAAACCCCACCAATAATCAAATTAACAACCGAAATATTTGTTTCAGAGGCTTCTTTCTGTAAGGGTGAAAGATTCAACAGGGAGTCAGTTCTCGACATGAGAACCCACTTCAAACCAAGAGATACATCCCAGTACACATTCTATACAACTTGTCACCCACTGGGAGCAAAGAAAGGCTTCGTTAAAGGCGGAACGTTACGACTCCCTTGGACTACTTTTTCAAAAATAAATTTGAAGCGAACGTTAAACAGTTCAAAGTATACCTGGCTGAGAGAGACTACCCGAAAAAGGTTTTTGACAACCCACTCTCAGAAGAGAAATTTAAACTGGACGTAAACAGGCCCTCCTCCAACAGGGAAAAACAAGTAATAAAATCTTGCCCTTTATAATAACAACACAATACTATTCAACAGTTCCACACCTTAAAGAAATCATCCCAACAAGTGGCAGTTAGTACAGCAACAATCGTTGCTAAGAGAAATCCTCAAATAACCGCCGTTACTACCATACAGAACGGGGCGTTCACTCAGAAATACTCATGAGAACAAAAATATAACCATTGAGATTCGTATAAACACTTGTGCAGAGAAAACTGGACGTACTACGGAATCATTCAGGCCTGTCAACCTCAATTTACACGGAAGCATTAATTAAGCCCATTTCTAAAGTAAATAAATATTTTTATGATCCTGCCTATACGTGTCCTATCCTCTATTCCGCCTTCGAAAAGGATCGTATCCCGGTATTGCCTTCCTATTTTCATCCCGCATCACGCATTTACAGATCTCGTATCCCACATCCTGCCTCGATTTTAAGCCTTATCCCACATCCCGCAAAACCTGTGTTGACCTTGAGCGTTGAGTTCAACCCACCATCTTGGAATCTTATCTTCTAAAAGAAGGCATAGCGACTTTGTTCGTCGGAGATCTTACACACCATACTCCACTTTCAACCTCACTCGCCTTCGTTCAGCAGCTAGTGGCGACATTAGTTCGAGTCACGACTTAAACAACAAATAGTTGTACTTTGAAGATGGAACCATGGCAGCCATTCCAATCTTGCTCAGATTAAGTGCGTATCCAGTCTTCATCAGACAACAACAACAGCTACTCATCTGACTGTGTGCACGCTGAATGCTCGCTCTATTGCCACCAAATCTGCATTATTTGTTGATTCCGTCTATTAATGTAATGCTGACTTATTTGTAGTCACTGAAACCTTGTTATCGGATAACGACCTTGTAATTTGCAATGCGATGACTTCACCCGCCTTCAAGCTATTTAGTTGCCCCAAAAGGGCTCGTGAAAGTATGGGTACGCTTATTCCTTTTATTTTTTTTAACAGCTTTATTGGGTAAGGCTCATATGATAATAATAAACTGAAATGATACAATATATGATAACAATCGAAAATACAAGACACAGCAAGAACAATGAACGAGAGAGCAAAGCAGACAAAAACAGTCGTGGACCTATTAGGCCTGATGTGAACGGGACACAAAGACCCGTGTGAGGCACCGCCCGTGAAATAAAAGAAGGAAACAAAATCATGAACATTGTGATCGGTAGCACCATTCAGACATTTGAACAAGAAAACGAGGAAATTTGACATTTAAAAGAAATAAAACGAGATTAAAAAAATAAGCTGCTTTTTGGTCGGTTTTTTGCGAACTCTAATTTCGTCTAAGAACGTCTTTTGAATTTTCCGACTATTTCGTCTCTACCAAATCATCACGACTTAGACTTTTCATAATAAATCGTCGACCGTCCTTTAAGAACCAATCCTGTGACTATTATCGGTTTTGTTGAGGAATTTTCAGACTTCTTGGAACCTATCATTTTATCTCGTGATCCTCTTTTCTTAAGTTTCGATATCTGCGTTGATGATCACAATAACACGGCGGCTTGTCATTTCTTTGATTTATTGGAGTCGATATCATTAACTCAACGTGTTTCGGAATCAACACATGAACTGGGCCACGTACTGGACCTGATAATTACGCGGAACTCGGATAACTTTATCAGGGGTCAACGTATGCTTATTTTCGGATAATCTGACACTGCTCTTCAAACTGAAAGCAACTCGACCACCATTAAAGTTAACCATGTTTCATTTAGGAAGCTGCGATAAATTGATATGGACGCATTTCTTACGATGAAAAGTATCGAACACTAGGTAAGGGACATCCGTTCATGGATGTTGAACGATAATCTTAAACTGAACGACAACAAGACCGAGTTCCTCATTATTGGGACACCACAATAGGGGAGAATTGGATAACTGTCGGTGCTCGTGTTGGTGACTCGAACATCAAATCTGTGCCCATCGCTAGCGGTAAAATCTCTGTGTCTGGTTTGATTCCAGGCTGTCTATGCCATCACACGTCACAAATATACGCAGCTTTTCATTTGACGTCTACGATATTCACCTCATTAGGAAATATCTCTCACAACAATCAACTGAGGCCTTCATGAGTGCGTTCATTACAACCCGAATAGTCTACTGCAACAGCCTTCTGTATGTATCACCGGTTTGTTTTAATACCTAAACTGCAGCGGATAAAGAATGCTTGGGCTAGACTGATTTTTAGAGAACAAAAATTTTGCCATCTAACATCGCTTATTTTTTAATTACGTTGGCTACCGATAAGAAACAGATAGGAGTTTGAAATGGTTCTAACTACTTTTATGGTTCGTAAAATTAAAAAATTTTGGGCTCCTTCTTACCTAGCTATGATCTCAGAATTTCTAATAACAGATTCCTTGTTATTAGAGTCTGAAGCTAGCCTGTAGGTTCAAAATTTTTACCGTTCTGTTTAAATTCTTGAATGCACCTCCTCTGAATATAGGGGGTGCAAATACAATCGAAATCGCACTTTTTTAGATGGGCATTTTTAATCAGAGCGTTTTATTGTAATTCAAATTTCTCTGTCAGTTATAATGATGTCTTTGTGGTAACCTTTCCTTCATATTCCCTTCTCTTCATAGCTTTATTTGATTGTAATATTTTAACTCTTAAACTGTGATGCGCAATTGAAAATGTTATGGAATTTGCGCATCTAGATTCATCATCATTATCATTATCATTATCATTATTATTATCCTTATCATCGTTAAAAACGCCCCAGTATTATCATTGCCATGGTGTAGCTTTGTTAATCAGATATTCCAGGAGTAAGTGTTGCCACGCTCATGTCTGAATGCTATCCACTAAAGGAGGAGCAATACCCCGAGACACAATCGCTTCCTGCCATCTTCGAATCGAGTAGTGGTACAAGGTAAAGACGATTATTGACTTTTTTCTTGATATGATGTCAAATCCGCTGGACTGAATAAACTGTGTTGCCTTTGTGTAAATTCCACTTGCTACCCAGCGCCCTAGAGTGTCTTTCCAATTCGGGATGGAACGTCAGTTTTGGGTAAAAAACTTACATATCATTTAATCCAGTGCGACGGTACCACAGCTCAAATAATCAACGCAACTAAAGAAGTTTCTTGTGTTTACAATCAAGCCGCACTTTCGCATTACCGGAAAGGGGTTTAAAGGGCCAGAGCAGGATAAACTTCGACACCGTAAGCAATGCAGAAAGAAGAAAACATTTTCGCTATCTATTTCTGTTAAGAGAACCAAGCCAAAATAAAAGATGGGGAAATACTCAAACATACCCTTCAAATATGCTTATGAACAAACTAGAGTTGAGCTATCGATGGAACAGTGGCTGACACTGTAAAAAGATGGTTTCGTGCTTCGTTTCAAAATCTATATATTACAACAGCTGATTCGGACAGTTTCTCTTTTTGAAAATTTCGATAAAAAGCTCCACCACAGACATGTTCTATCGACTGGAATCGTTCGTACGCGGCATTTTGCAAAAGCGTTCTATCGGTTTGAAAGAAACCTCGATACAACGTGCTTATTTATTCACGTATTTTGCAAAAAAAGCAAGTCTTCGAAGCGACCGAAAGAAAAGAAAAGAAAGAAAGGGGAAGAAAACCAATTTACTAAAAGAAAAACCGAAAGTTGCGTATTCAGTGGCTTTGATGTTAACATTTCTCTCGGCTGAGAATGAAAATCGACAACTGGAAGATTTGCCACTGGCCGATTTTGGCTGTTTACCTGAAAGACTTCTTCTGTCTGTAAGGACAAAGTCAATAAATCGGAATTTTGTAAATCGAAAATTACGACTATTGTCGTTTTTGTAATCATGATTCAACGCATTTTTCCATCTTAAGAGTCAGCGCCAACGTACTCTACGATTGTTATTCAAGGATTGTCGATTCATTTATTTTCATTCATTAATGAAGTCGGCTTTTCTTCCCAGTAAAGGGCTGTTGTGTTTATGTGATAAACAAAATAATACATGATTGCTTGTAGATATGGAGTTTCTCTTCTCTTGTTCAACTCGACATCTCACTCATTCGTTGCGCTCACTCGTGAGCTATCGAGTTAAATATTCGAAGAGAAATTCCATATCTACGCGCGCCCATGTATTATTCTCTATTAACCTAAGGCCGAAAATAGCATTGTTTATTTGCATTTTCTGAGGTTGATACTATCTGCACATCCAAGTAGAGGTAATGATTTCAAAACCATGAGACACAATTTTTCGATTACTTGGCTGGAATGAAAATGAAATCTAAAATTTGAAGAAGTAATAAACAGATTGTTAAAATAAACTTTATGTGCTATCATTTGACCCCTGCATGGTCCGTCATTCAAACATCTGAAGCTGTTTACCGATTTGAAATGTCTCATAAGGATAATCGTCGCTCGTGATTACAATCGATTCATTGTTTATTCAGCTTCATTTATTGAATTGAATTGATAATCTTAACGAAATATTTAAAATCATCATAAAAAGATATATCCTTTCAACTCCTCTAGACACACATTTTAACACTTACTTTGAGGAACCCTTAGGGGCAATCATTTTTACTGATTAAACAGTAACAACACGGCGAAAAAACTATTTCGTTACCGTCAGCTATAATACAAACTTTGTGAAACAAGAGACTTTATGTGATCTTATTAAGCAGTTATAGACGGTCAGAAAACGGTGGCTCGAGCTATTGGATGTTTGGCTCCATAGTTAACCACATTTAATTTCAATTTATTGATTTCTGATTTTTTGCTTTGCTTTTCATTGACGTTGATTTGTAGTATAGGAGTCTTACTTACAGCGTCAACGTCCCCCTGTAGGAAACCCTAATGCCAGCGAACACTCCTGGTGGTAAATCCTGTAACTGGTTGTTGGACAAGTCCCTGGAATAAATAAGTCATTTTAACAAAGTGTGAACTCTGCTGTATGCGACATGTGTGTTTTCCTACATCTTGAAAGCTCCCAACACTTGTTCAAAATATTAACATTAACGTTTGTATTTGCCTCACATTAGTGGATAATTAGATCAAGTTACTCTACCCTTAGATCCTAATGCAAAATAACATTGTTCGATTAATCTGCCAACATTTCACACCATCTGGTTTTCTGAGCAGTGGTACAAATTTTAAAGATGGCGAATACTTTGATCAGATTAATTGCTAGTCGATAATTAAAACTCGCAAATTGAAAGAAATGGGGGAACACATTTTAAACCACCTGTTGTCATATTCCTTTCATCTCGCTGGTGATAAGTCCGAATAGTTTATTGAAACGCCAAGTGACCAGAGAGAATCTTTCAGTCAAAACGATGAAGAGTAACGCTGATATTAGCACATGCCTGTGATGTGAAATTCTTTCGGAAATCTCAACAAAGATTTATTATCACACTTAATATTAACTGAATTTTCATTTGAGCCACGAGCACTAATTTTTTACTGAGTGCCATCCATACAAGAATAACGGTTACACCGGGCGTTTTTAGTGCCGGTTGTCTATTTGTGGTCCTGAGCAGTAGTGTAGACACTAAATGACTGTAAATATATGAAAATCATATATGTGAACTGCGAATAAACAAATGAATACGGAAGCGATCCTCGCATTAATGAACACTACTCAAGCGGTAGTGAAATTAAGGTTCAAGTCCCGTACAGGCCTGAATTTTTTTCAGGCCTTTTTTATTCAATTACATAGATGAGTTTACTTTATATTAAATTGATGAACAAACCCTATGGAGTTCTGTTAAGTTTTCCATCGATAGACTTTTACAACGATAGTGGATGGGCGACGCTCATTCAAATTCTGAAACACATGCTCAAAACTTTTGAATCTTGATGATCACGTTTATCATCCTTCATGCCAACGAATGTTTCAGGAGCTGACTCCTCACTTGGACTTTGTTTGTTTGTAAAGCGTCTTAATGTAGTTCTGCTTCATATGATCATTAGTCTGAACGTCTCTGTACAATATCCCTCTGCCTCCCTTTTTTTAAGTTTATGTTGCCGGAATTTTAACTCAAGATTTCACTGGTTGCCAATGGACCGCATGCAACGCGCATTTTGTTGTTGTTGTTGTTGTTCTTTTTTAATTTTGCAATAATTTTATAACGTACTTGATACTCGTGCTGCGTGAAAAGCTTTATGCATCTCCCATCTATTACGGGCGATTTTACAGGCGAATTGAACAAGAAAAACGGTTAAGCAAAAATAAAACCTTCGACCTAGTTTATTTAACAAAACGTAGCAATAGTTTGAGAAGACAGTAAAAATACGCATGATCGGTCTAAAAGTCAATCACGATATCGTAACGCAATAGTGACTAACGCAGAAGCGTTACGCGAAAGTGTCGCAAATCAGCTCCGAGCCAGACAACATCTTTGCTGGTCGCAGCTGGTTATTAGCAGGTTTGCAGCCATTGGCAAAGTGCTTCATTCTTCTTCGAATGAAACCCTCTGGCCGTATTCTCTGCATGCCTCACAAGTGGACGCGTGAATTCTAAAAACTGCTGTCCTACAATTAACGCAAATGAAGACATTCGCGCGCCCAGTTCAAACACCCATTGACTGATTCTCACTGAGTGCGTAGTTTTCCGCCCAGCTCTCTCCTCTCCCCGTCCATAGTACCTCGCACGAAATCGTGTTTAGGGCGCCACTACCCTATGTGATTATATATGTCAATTGTGCGAAAACATATATTCATTACAACAACGTAGATTTTCGACACGAGATGAGAGTGAAACTCGTTCATGCTCATTGCTTTTCCTTGGTTTTTAATAAGATGTTAATTGAAATCGCTCCGTCAAGACTTCCGAATGTCTAATACTGAATGGTAAGGCGGAATTTCAAGCCTCCCACCGACTCTCACCGTTCTTTGATCATCGATCGATCATTGCTTTTGATCATCGGATCCAACCTAGATAGGGAACTTTTACTTTTATTTTTAGTGTTCCATTCCTTACGGCTTATACTTAATTCTTGAATGTTGTCTGTTGTTACTCTTTATAAAAAGATTAGCTTTTCAGTTTCTCGTATTTCGGCTGCTGTGGTGGTGACTATTTTCAACTTGTTCTCAATGAAAGTTCCTGTCATATAATTTATCAGTCTGACTGCCCTTTCTCAGTCGGAGAACCTTGACACGCCGTCGATGTGGCTAAACTTCTTGACTGTAGTCGTTCGCACAATAGCCTGGTAGTTACTCTACTCTTCAGAGATTCTCATGCAAAATAACATCGTTCAATTAATTTGCCAACATTTCATGACACACCATCTGGTTTTCTAAGCAGTGGTACAAATGTTAAAAGATGGCGAAAACTTTGATCAGATTAATTGCTTGTCGATGATTAAAACTCGCAAATTGAAAGAAATGGAGGACTCTTTTTAAATCACCTGTTGTTATATTCCTTTAATCTCGCTGGTGATAAGACCGAATAGTTTATTGAAACCAGAAGTGACCAGAGAGAATCTTTCAGTCGAAACAATGAAGAGTAACGTTGATATTAACGCATGAATATAATGTGAAATTCTTTCAGAACTCTCAGCAAAGATTTATTAACACACTAAATATTAACTGAATTTTCATTTGAGCCACGAGCACTAATTTTCTATTGAGTGACATCCATTCAAGAATAGCGGTTGTACTGGGCGTTTTTAGCGCTGGTTGTCTTTATGTGGTCCTGAGTAATATTGTAGAGACTAAATGACTGTAGGTATATGAAAATCACATATGTGCACAGCGGATAAAGAAATTAATATGGAAGCGATCCTCCTGGTAATGTTTACCATTTACGCAGTAGTGAAAATAGGGCCTGAAAAAAATTCAGCAGTAGTAAAAATAAGGTTCAAATCCCGTACAGGCTTGAATTTTTTCAGGCCCTATTTTCACTTCTGCTTAAGAAGTATTCATTACTGCGAGGATCGCTTTCCTATTCATTTCCTTATCCGCAGTTCACCTATATGATTTTCATATAATTTACGGTCATTTATTCATGACTTCACGGGTTTATTTGCAATTGGAACCAACATAATGACCAGCTCCCGGTTAACTTCTTAGCTCAGTTGGTAGAGCTTAAGAAGTGTTCATTACTTCGAGGACCAAGGTCGAGTATTCATCAGAGGTGTTTAAGTGGTTGTATTCAAAAGCTCACTATCGATGTTCAGTTATCAAACTGTTTTCAAGCATCGCCGTGGGGAGCGCTGCACCGATATCGCAGAGGTCACGGGCTAAAATCCCGTACAGGTCTAATTTTTTTTCAAGCAAATTCCAAGCTTTGGAATTCACTTTTATACCATACGCTAACTAGCTTTCGGAGATGAAGCGTTCATTACACTGTAGCTATGAAGCAACTGAAATAATAACAAAGAAAATGCAAATTTGCCCTTAGTTCTTCCTCAGAAAGTTTTCGTGAACACAAACAAAACAGAACAAAAAAAAAAAAGGGAAACTTAGCTTTCTTTAAATTCTCTTCGCTATTCTAGAAATGTCAATTTTAGGGCAACACGAGACCATTCCTGACTTGCTTTGCGTCTTAAGAGAAGCGAACAACGTTCGCGCTCTGAATTTGGCCTTACCATTCAAGACTTTCACACTGCGACCAACCTGCATAGTACACCGTTTGAAGGGAATGCCATTCTTGCACCCCAAGGTCAGTTATGTTACTGAGTGAAATTGGTTCAAGAAAGACTCTCAAACAGGGATCAAATGTTATTATTTGTGGAGCATACAATGAGTTATTGAGAACTTTTTCCTTCTGAAAAATGTTCTTGTTCGTCAAACGAGTCCGATTTAACTTTAGCAGACTCGCTTAAATAATTTATATGACAGCTATCGTACTCTTCACACTTTGTGTTTTGTTCGTTTACGGAATTTTCAACCTATGCAATCACTATAATATTAACAAATGGTTCATATTTTCAAATTTTAAACAAAGCCGAAGGCTATTTTAGCAGACCAAGTTCAAAATGGTCGTCTGAACAACGAAATTCTAGTTCTTCCGTCTCTAAATATGCTATATGACAGGACTATTATATCTCTTCACAGATATCATTTGTGTTCATCAATGTTCGTTTTCTTCCTACTTGAATTTTCAACACAAATTTATGCAAATCACAATATAATATTAACAAATGCATGTTAATAACAAGGTCTTTCTTTTTCCTTTCTTCTTTATCTCATTTTGTGGTACTTAAATTCAATTTTGTTTTTAACCTTCGCAAAGAATTCTTAGCCTAAAAGACAAAATTGGCTTTTAGCAAGAATTTTCATCATAGGTGTTTTTTGACTTATTTGAACGTTGAAAATGAATGGAAATAATATATTAGCATAAGCCGTTCAGTAAACATTGTAAAAGGCCAGTTGATCATTTCTTATTGCTTTTGGAGGTCCTATGTTACAGGTAGACTTTGGTTACCTTTTCCTTATCGTGATCGTGAATTTGACATGGAGACAGATGTTTTTGCGTAAACTAACTTATACGACTGGCACGTAGCTCTTTTAGGGGCGGTACCTTGGGTACGCCCTTTCTTCTCCGAATTTTATGTTTATTCTGCTGTTATGCAACAGCCTTCAAGGACTATTTTCTCTTAAGATATCTCTTCAAGTATGATTTTAATTCTGTTAGTAAGTTTATTATAATTTTTATATTGTCAATCTTGTTTTTGTTTTGCCTGAACTTGACCGTAAGACCAAGAAATTTAAGTTAGAAAGACATTTTGTAAAGTGTAAACATCGCGAAGGTATCTACTTTGTATGCGAACTCCGTTCTGCGTAGTTTAGCGTGATTCGCTAGTTAAGTGTAAAAGCATGACGAAGGTTAGAAACTGACAGCTCAGTAAGTGTCACCTTTATAAGCGGTGACCCACACTTTCCTAGAAAGATCAGAGCTAGTCCCC